GATTACACAGAAATTTCAACAACTGAATATAATATCACATTTTTTTCAGTATTTAGTGTGTCCACAATTTACTACGACATCGTTTAGGGCCACTGTTAATAAAAATAAAAACAGTAGACTTCAAGAACAAAGTCATAATATTTCAAGAAAAAAAGCTGTGCTATTTCAGAATAAAGTTGTAATATTTTGAGAAAAAAAAGTTGTAATATTTGGAGGATAAAGTGGGCTAACTGTAGGGGGGCTGCCATAATGCTGTACTGGTGCCGGAGTTCCACTCACTCCTGTCTCTTTGTGGATTGATTATCATTCTCACTGTCTGTAAACTTCATGCCATCTTTGAATGGTGTGGAGATGCAGCCCCGATAGGAGGACCTTGCCTGGTATTAATGCCACTTTAATGTCGTAATTCTACGACTTTTTTCTCGAAATAGTACGACTTTTTTCTCGAAGTCTGCTATTTTTATTTTTATTATCAGTGGCCCTAATAATATAATTATATTATAATAAATAATCATAATGTATCTTTATTGCAGCTTCCATTCTTTTCAGGAAACTTGACATAAAATGTTTATGTGCTATGATCTTCAGCATGTATTAGTCCCAAGTTTGATCTAGTGTGGTGTACATCTTTGCAGGTGAGCTGTTGCTGCTACCAGAAGTTTCCAGTTTACAATAACACTTACATTTGACCAGGGCAGCTCCAGCAGAGCAGAAATTTGACAAACAGACTTTTTGGACAGGTGTCATCCAGAGACAGACCCGTGCTGAAAGTCACTGAGCTCTTCAGTATGACTGCCAGTGTTGGTCTGTGGAGACTGCATGGTCGTAAACACACTAATTAGAAGGAGTGTCCACATAACGAATAAACTGCGTCACAGGGTTTCAGTAACTGTCTGATGTTTAGAGCACTGAGCTTATCAGATACATCAGAGCTGCTATCATCATGGGTCATCTTCATACTAGAGCCTCTGCTCTGAGCTGTAAGAGGAAGTTGTGGTGAAGGGGGGAGGCAGTGGGGCAGAGCCTTTAATAAACGATTGAAAATTAATTTGAAAAAAGAGTGAGGCTCAGAAGCTCAAACTCGAGATACAGACAGATTCAGAGCTTCAGACGCCTGCAGAGAAGATGGAGATGAAGATGAGCTGTGTGTGTTTGGTGCTGGGGCTGGTCCTGCTGATGACCGTCTCCGCAGATGCTACCGGTGAGTTTATAACATCTTAATAAATTTACTATGTTTACAGGCAGATCCAGACACCGATTAACACATTATAATCAGGGGTGGAAAATACTTAGGTAATTATACTTTCTTACTGTACTTAAATATAATTCTGGAAGACTTATATTTGTATTATTAACACCAAAAACTGCACTCTTTCTCAGTTACGTTTCCAAAAGAAAAAACTCATATGATTTTCTCCTTACATTTTTCAATTTGAACTTTTAAAATCAGTTGAGTTCCTGCACATTTGATTTTATATTTATTAAAACATCCAATCAAATTTATATCAGTGAAGAAATTACCAATTATGATAATTCATTTTTTGTGGAAGAAACAGTTCTGTGCATTGATCGCAATATTATTCTCATAGTATTTGGTGTAAGCTGAGGCATATTTGCTAGTCTGGGTGACAGAGAGTGTGATTTGCACCCAGCATTAAATATGAATAAAAATTTCAACAGTCAGCACATGCTTTTTGTTGTTATAAAATATTAAAATAACTTTAATAGAGTTTGTTTACATACAGATTTGCATTACTTTGTTTCTCTTACTTTGTATTCTGAATTTCTGTTAAATACATTCTCAGAATTATTCCCAACTTTGATTACAACACAAATAATAACAGTGACTTTACTGATAATAATTAACAGTACTACTGAAAATAACAACCAGAACAACTACTACTGATAGTGGTAATCAATAACAATAACTCAGTTAAGTTATTAAATAATCTCTAACATTTATTTTTATTGTATTTTGTTTTATTTTAATTATCTTTTTTTTTATTGCTAGTAGAAATGGAAAAGTGGTCTAAATGTGTAGAAAATGCAGGTCCAAGTATTCTGAAATTGGAAGACAGGGCTTGAAAATCTTGTTTCCCTTCTTCCTCAGCTGCTTCTTGCCAGCCTGATAACTGCTGTTTCAACTTTGTCAATTTTAAAATTCCAAACAAAGAAATACTAGAAGTTGTAAAAACTCATTCCAGCTGCCCAAAGCAGGGCTATGTGTGAGTATCTGACTTTAGAAGACGTAGATCAACACTGTCAGAATAAAACCTCATATCTCCAAAATAGGAACTTTTCAGGAACAGAAAAAACATTCCTAACGTTAATGTTAGTTAATGTAATGAGATTTGTCCAAGCTAATTTTGGAGCATTTCTATTGGTCCATTCATCATGAGATTTTGGCACGACGTAAATGACAGTGGTTGTTTTAAAATCATTTTAAAAAAGAAGATATACGTTTTTTTCTATATTAAATCTGATTTGCATCGTTCAGGTATACAACGCCGAGGGGCAGATTCTGCAAGAAGGACCTGCAGTAAATCTAGATTTCAGAGCTGCAGCTTCAACACAGCCCAGACGCAGACGCAGCACACAGAGCAGCTAAAAGCTTTACACACCCCTTTAATCATCACAGGATTTTATCAATCAGCGCTTTGCTTTTCCAATATTATCAATGATTGTTTAACTTTGTGGAAACAAAACAATGTATGACAAAAATCTCTGCAGAGAAAAATAACATCATAAAGACAAATTAGATTTCAGTGTTGCAGCTTCGATACAATAATCAATGTATTGCTTCTTTACAATATATTTTATGCTTATGTTATGCTGTAAATCAAAATAAAACATTGCATTACATACATTTCAAGTGAATCATTTATACTGTCATAGTGTTACATGGATATTGTCTAAGGGAGTGATGCAGTGATAGTGATATAGTGGTTATATTGTAGAGGCTGTGTGTTTATTCACATTCAGAACCACAAAAACAGTGTAATAATGAGATAAACATGATGCCCAACGTTGTGTTTAGTAAAATCATCTTGTAATAATGCTCAGGGGGGGCTCCACACCTCCAAACGCAGTGGGGCAAAAATTAATGTCTTAAAAAAAAGAGACAAAATGCAGCTTGTCCTCTTCATGTCATGTTAATAACATGGCAGCCTATTCATGAACAGAGTCAGTGACTGTTTTGATTGAGTCACTGAGTTCAGCCTCAACCTTCACTAACTATCATCTCTGCAGAACATCAGGCTGATTTGGTTTTCTGAAGTTCTCACCAGACTCTGGGTTTTTCTGACACTGTGTCTTTTTCATTGGTTTGGTTGGTTTCACACTGCACCGGCTGGAGTACGTCAAATTACACATGTGGGTTTTCGGTTGTTGCTCAGAGATTTTGCAAGTGCCCTTTTATTCTCACATTCACCACCATGAAAACAGAAGAAAACAGAAACAGAGACTCTTAATGTCTACATTCATCGTAAAGCAACAGGTTGCTGATTGTTGGCTAAAACTACTCTCTACAGTCCATGTGCAAAAATCCAAAGTATTTATTCACTATTTTTTATTTGTCATTATTAACAGCGGCTCATGCTGCAAGAATGATATGAGTTTCTGTGATGTTCTCGAGAAAAGTTCATGGTGAATACAGGGGGAGTGTTAACACGTCAAAATGGACTCAACTAAACAAAAAGTTTGATAGTTCTGCACCAAAGAAGAAACATTTAAATAGACATTTAGTAAAATCACACAGTGTAGTAACAAAAATGTTCTCTGACTGAGTGAATTAGTTCCTGTATCACAGTAAAAGCATTAGTGAGCTGCAGCTCCTCTCACTGAGCACCAACTCAGCAAGGCTTTACTATCTTAGAAATGTCCTGCCTGCAGCTGAAATCAAGGATTTAATTGGTTCTGCCAACTTTTTTTAGTTTCGTGTCTATAGGTCAGCACTGCTTAAGCGTCCTGAACCCAAATAGTCGTGGGTTGTCACCCCAGTACATTGAAAAGCTGTGGGTGCTCGCTCGCTCGGCCGACATCTCAGCTTCTCACATTCTTCAGGTCCCCTGCACTCAAGAGCTTTCACTTCAGTGTGGCACATCAGTATGACCTCTCCACCCCTCCCCCATCTCAGAATCAGAGCTAATAAGGCAATTTCCAATGTAACCTCACACATGATGTCTTCTGCACAACATCACAATGCACTGCTTCTTTCTATTGTGATCTTTAAATTAGTTTTTATTGCATTCAGGGCGTCCAAATGTTAATTTTGTGGGTCCCGGACCCCAAGGAGCTCCAGTATCTCACAACTTGCCTGCAGTCCATGTACCGTTATGATAGATTACAGAGAAATCTCAACAACCAAATATAATATGACATTTTTAGTATTTAGTGTGTGCTTTACCTTTATTACAGCTTCCATTCTTTTCTGGAGACTTGACAGAAGATTTTTATGTACTATGAGCTTCAGCATGTATTAGACCCATTCTTTTAGACAGGTGTCATCCTGAGACAGAGCCGTGTTGAAAGTCACTGAGCTCTTCAGTACGACTCAGTCTACTGCCAGTGTTTGTCTGTGGAGATTGACTGTATGCTTGATTTTATGCATCTTTTAGTAATCAGTGTTGCCAAATACATTGATTAGAAGGAGTGTCTACATATTTGTGTATACCTGTTTGGGAATTTAATGTACGGAATTTAATCCCTTGAATGTTCAGGTTACACGTGGGCCCAAAGCACACTTACACACTTCTATAACCTAAGAATAGCTTAGCCAGTTTGCATTGAAGTCCCTGTAGTTACTGAATAATAAGCTTTAGTATGTAATAAGTCTTTAAGTTTTTAAAGAAAGGTGTATTTATGAACGAACTGCATCACAGGTTTTTAGTAACTGTCTGATGTTTAGAGCACTGAGCTTATCAGATACATCAGAGCTGCTATCATCATGGGTCATCTTCATACTAGAGCTTCTGCTCTGAGCTCTGAGAGGAAGATGTGGTGAAGGGGGAGGCAGTGGGGGGCAGAGCCTTTAATAAAGGACTGAAAATAAAGTGAATTTTTTTAAAAAAAGTGAGAGACTCATCGGCTCTAACTGAAGATACAGACAGAGAGAAACATTCAGAGCTTCAGACGCCTGCAGAGAAGATGGAGATGAAGATGAGCTGTGTGTGTTTGGTGCTGGGGCTGGTCCTGCTGATGACCGTCTCCTCAGATGGTTGCCCGTGAGTTTAACACACTTTCTATCTTTACAGTCAGATCCAGGCACAGATTAAGAAATCATAGTCAGGGGTGGAAAATACTTGAGTTATTATACTTTCTTACTGTATTTAAGTATAATTTTGGAACGTTTGTACTTAAGTATCATTGAGACTAAATACTTGTACTGTTTCTCAGTTACATTTCCAAAAGAAAAATCATACTTTTTACTCCGTACATTTCTTAATTTGGACTTTGAAAATAGTTGTTACGAATTTCAAACTGTAGGATATGATTCTCTTTTTTCACTTGTAAAACAGTTCAGTTTGCACACATTTGATGAATTTTTTAAACATCCAATTGAATTCATATCAGTGAAGTAGTTGCCCGCAACTATGCCTATTCATTTTTTGTGGAAGAAACAGTTTTGAATTTTAATAATAATACAATTCTTATAGTACTGCTTGCAAGATGAGGCAGATTTGCTAATTTGGGTGACGGAGATTGTGATTTGTATCCAGCATTAAAGTTAATTAAATGTTTTGAAACAATGAAAAAGACATGCTGACTCTTTATCTGTAACTTTATCTGTAACTTTTAATTTGTATTTAATTGAATGTAGATATTTATTAATGTGAGACTCTTACTTTGTTCTCGTAATTTTCGTTAAATAGTTTCTCTGATAGCAACTCAGTGACTCTACTATTGCTAATAATAATAATAATAATAATAATAATAATAAATTAGTACTAATATTTTTTATTATAACCTTATTATAACAATTTGTATTAGTAGTAGTGAGAGTAAAAGTGGTGTGCAGAACATGCAGGTTCATGTGTTTCACAGTTAAAAGACAGAGCTTGAAAATCTTTCTTCTCCTCCTCAGCTGCTGCTGTTGGCCATCCTGATCCGTGCTGTTTCTGCTTCATCACTTTTAAAATTCCAGACACAGAAATACTAGAAGCTGTAAAAACTCATTCCAACTGCCCAAAGCCCGGCTTTGTGTGAGTATCTGCCTTTAGAAGATATCATCACTATCGGAATAGAACTTTGTATCTTCAAAATAGGATCTTTTCAACAGAAGAAAAAACTTTGCTAACTTTAATGTTTAATTTTTTTTTTCATTTAATGGGATTTGTCCCCAAATAGTTGTGGAGCATTTCTATTGGTCCATCCATCATGAAATTTTGGCACAATGTAAACGACAGCTGCTGTTTTCAAATCATGTTAGAAAAATAAAGATATGAGTTTTTGTTCCAACCAATGTGGTTGGCGGGACATGTAAAGTTCTGGGGCTCAGCACAGTTCACTATTAAATTATTTTGGGATATTTCCTCCAGCATTTTTTTTTTATTAAATCTGTAATTTTTTATTAAATACAAGGATTTACACACCAACAAAATGTGCAGTGAAAAAAAAGTTTTCTCAATAATGTCAAAAAGTTCTCTGCACATTTCTTCTCACTCCACATCAATCATCTCCTCTACACCTCTCCTCTCTAATGTTCAGCTAACAGAGGAACACTTTATTTACAGTTTTTATAAATTTATGAAGCTAAACAGTCATTCAGGAAAAGTCTTCTGGCCTAAAACCAAACTAGAAACAAGATCACGCTAAACAAAGAATTCCATCTGTGTAATTCTGTGTCCTGATAAACAGTGTTAGAGGTCTGCAGCCCGATGGGTCCAACAAAACATTGGGTCAACATTTTCATGGGCAACATCGGGCTCTGGTTGGGCTGGTAGGAAACTATCCCAGCACAGACCAAAGCACACATGAAGAGAAATCCTACAAATTAATGAACAGCCTAAATAAAGTAGAATGATCACTAAATCAGACACAGCCGCCCAGCAAAACACCAAAAATAACCGCTCTGTGGTTTAATTCATGTTTTGTTTTTACTGGGAATAAATGGCGTTTGGTGAAGTTACTCACTGTGAGTCTGTTGACCACGACTGCCGTGTTATTTAAGCAGAGGATAATACATTTGTGAAAAGACTGTGTCAGATATTTCAGTCCCGCCCAGATCTCTACCTGACAGCCCAGGCCGGGCGATGTCCCGTTTCCGACAGTGAGGATATGTGGTTTACTGTTTTATTATGTCACATAAACACATTTGTTTCTACATAAAATCTAATTTGCTGTTTATTATCAGTAGATGAGACTCTCTTCAGTGAAAACATAATGAGGTTAACTGTGCTGTCTTTCAGGTACACAACGAAGAGGGGCAGATTCTGCAAGAAGGACCTGCAGTAAATCTAGATTTCAGAGCTGCAGCTTCAACACAGCCCAGACGCAGACGCAGCACACAGAGCAGCTAAAAGCTTTACACACCCCTTTAATCATCACATGATTTATTAATCAGTGCTTTGCTTTTTCAATATTGCAGCATTCACTGCTATTAAAAGAGCCACAGCTTTTGCACATAGTGCTTTATTTTCCAGCTGTTTTTGCCACAGCCACGCCGTACATAAGCTAAACGTTTTGCCACAGCCAGCACTCTGACTCAGCTCACATTTGCTTGTCTCTCTCTCTCTCAGCTCATGCACGCACAGCGTTGTTCTCCTAGCCCCGCCCTCTACAGTAAAAGTCCTTAGCAAAATGAACCAAGTGCAAGAAATGCAAGAGAACACAGACCCCAAACTAACATGCAGAAGCATTTCTTGAAGCCACAACAATATCATCAGTGCTTGTTTAACCTCTTAAAATTTCAAGCTTGTTACATACTAAGGCTTATTATTCACTACAGGGACTCTGTTATTCTCACATTCACCACCATGAAAACAGAAGAAAAGGAAAACAGAGACGCTTAATGTATCCGTTCATCATAAAGCAAAAGGTCACTGATTGTTGGCCACAACTATTCTCTATAACCCATGTGCAGAAATTAAAAGCATTTATTTGCTCATTTTTACTGACATATAATATGATATAATACAATATGATCATGCTGCAACAATTATGCAACTTTTAAAGCTTAAAACATTTAGTAACCAGGTAAACTTGAAATTTCAAGTTTATTGAACTTGTAAGAAGTTTACAAGTGTAAAACACAAATTATTGTTCCACTAACTTAATATTATAAGTTTAACAAACTCAACATTTCAAGTTAATCAGGTTACTTACTTTAAATTTAGAAGTCGCATAATTTTTTTACAGTGTATGAGTGTGTGTAAAGAGTAAAATGTTAAAACAGGCAGATTATGTGGACAGTGCGATACGGAACTAGTGCCAGCTAAGATGACTGATGATCTCCTTCCATCAGCTCACCGTCTCCTTTTACCTACTGTGAGCATTTGCGCTTGAACACACAGCAGCTGCACAAAAAGGAGCCGCTGTTTATAAGCAGCAGCTGCAGTCTATAAAACTGCATCATACCAAATAAAGAATATATTTATTAAACATTATTCTACTCTGACTGTGCTATCCGTGTCTTTCTGCATTATAAGGTCTAGGGGCGGCTTCTACAAAGAGGAAGTCCGATCATCCTCTACACAGCAGGAGAAACCCAGACCACCCGAGACTTTCAGGGTTACAACACCTCGAGGCAAGCTGTACAAGGAGGAGAACGTCCTAGATTTCCCTAATAATACATTTTATTGTTTAATAGTGGTAGCAGTTATTACTATTATTAGTAGTAGTGTTAGTATTAATAGTAATATTTGTTGTAGTATTACACTTTTTATACCCTGAACGCAGTTCTAGGTGTTTCATAATGAGAGGATGATAAGATGTTTGGTGCACATTCATTTAACCCTAAACTGATTCTATTTAACGTGTGTGAAAGTGTTTTCTGCTCTTCCTCATATCAGCTCGTGCCATCACTCCTTCTGATCAGTGCTGTTTGAACTTCGTCACTTCTAAAATTCCAGAGAAAGAGATCATCAAAGTTGAGAAAACACCTTCTGACTGTCCAAAGCAGGGCTATATGTGAGTGTTTACCTTTAGAATATAGATGTATGTGGGTTTCTGTTTTATTATACTATAACCTCATTTCCAAAAAACTTGGGACGCTGTGCAGAATGTAAATAAAAATAGGATGCAATGATATGAAAATCATTTAAACCTTATTTTTAAAGGAAAATACCACCAGCATATCAAGTGTTGAAACTGAGAAATTTGTTTGTTTTTGAAAAATATATGCCTATTTTGAATTTGATGCCAACAACACGTTCCAAAAAAGTTGGGACGGGGGCCTGTTTAGCACTGTGTTTCATCACCTCTTCTTTTAACAACACTCTGTAAGCGTTTGGGAACTGAGGAGACACTGCTGTAGTTTAGAAAGTGAAATATTTTTCTGTTCTTGTTTGATACAGGATTTCAGCTGCTCAACAGTTCAGCGTCCCCTTTGTTGTATTTTTCATTTCATAATGTGCCAAATGTTTTCAGTGGTGACAGGTCTGCACTGCAGGTAGGTCAGTTTAGCACCCGGACTCTTTTAATATGGAGTAAAGCTATTATAATACATGCAGAATGTGGTTTTACACTGTTTTGCTGAAATAATCAAGGCCTTCCCTGAAAAAGACGTCATCTGGATGGCAGCATATGTTGCCAAAACATGTATATATCGTTCAGCATTAATGGTGCCTTCACAGATATGCACGTCACCCATACCATGTGCACTAATGTCCCCCTATACCATCATGAATAGTGGCTTTTGAACTGTGCTTTGATAACAAACGGAGTGGTCTTTAGCTCGGAGGACACAGTGTCCATGATTTTCAAAAAGAATTTCAAATGTTGATTTGTCGGACCACAGGACACTTTTCTACCTCAGTCCATTTTAAATGAGCTCGGGCCCAGAGAAGGTGGCAGCGTTTCTGGATCGTGTGGATGCAGCAACGTACTGTTTTCATAGACAGTGGTTTTCAGAAGTGTTTCTGAGCCCATGCAGTGATTTCCACTACAGAATCATGTCTGTTTTTAATGCAGTGGTGCCTGAGGGCCCAAAGATCACGGCCAGCAATTACTGGTTTTTGGCCTTTGTCCCTTACATACAGAGATTTCTACAGATTCTCTGAATCTTTTAATGTTATTATGTACCGTAGATGATGAAAAGCAGAAGTTCTTTGCTATTTTACGTTGAGAAACATTATTCTTGAATTGTTGCACTATTTGATCGTGCAGTCTTTCACAGAGTGGTGAACCCCTCCTCATCTCTACTTCTGAAAGACTCCGCCTCTCTGAGAAGCTTTTAAATACCAAATCATGTTACTGACCTGTTGTCAATCAACCACCAGGTGATTTTATTTTAGCATTTCACAACTTTACCAGCCTTTTGTTGCCCCCGTCCCAACTTTTTTGGAATGTGTTGTTGGCATCAAATTCACAATGGGCATATATTTTTCAAAAAAACAATAAAATTTCTCAGTTTCAACATTTGATATGTTGTCTTTGTACTATTTTCAATGAAGTATAGGGTTTACAAGATTTGCACATCATTGCATTTTGTTTTGATTTACATTTTATTTACTTTTGGAAATGGGGTTGTATATTAAATCTGATTTACTGCTGAATATCAGTAGATGAGACTGTTAAAATCCCAGGCTTGTGACATACTAAGGCTTATTATTCACTAATTATGAAACTTTAATACAAACTGGTTGAGCCATTCTTAGGTTATAAGTGTGTAATAAAACTTCAGGTCTGCTGATCGGCCCTGGCCATTTAACCATAAGGTTAAATGAAGAAAAAATAAGGTCAGTTCTAAACCCCTAATGCAGAGGTTAACTGTGCTATTTATGTCTTTTAGGGTTACAACAGCTAGAGGCAAGTTCTGCAAGAAGGAGGACATCATGGCGTCCACTACACAGCAGCAGAGTACTGTGTCAACAACTTTCAGTGTTAGAAAAGCTAAAGGCAAGTTGGACAATGAGGGACGCGTCCTAGCGTCCACTACGCAGCGGCAGAGTACTGAGTCTACTGTGTCTTACAGTGTTACAACAGCTAGGGACAAGTTGGACAAGGAAGAAGACATCCTAGCATCTGCTACACAGCATAACAGTACACAGCCATCTGGGTCTTCTAGGGTTGCAGCAGCTATGAGTGAGTTCTGCCTGCCATAATTCATGCAGAGGTTCTTTCAGAACTAAATTTCAGTTCTGCAGCTTCTGCACAACCCAAGTACAACACTTAGAGCAACCAGACAGTTTTAAATGGCCCTTAACTCACCACATGATTGATATCAAATGTATCCTTCAGTTCAGTATTATATCAAAGATTGTTTAATGCTGTGGATTAAAATGAAATAACACGTTGCATAATAAATGTTCTTGTAAGTCGCTCTGGATAATAGCGTCTGCTAAATGATGTAAATTTAAATGTAAATGTAAATGCATAGATTTTGGCACATTTTATATCATAAAACATATGATATAAAGTGTGCCAAAACATATGCACAGGCCACATTTAATGAATTTTCTGTTAAATTTAGCAAATAAACAGTGATTGTGCATTAAAATGTGCAGAAATGTGTTCTCTGTAGAGGATGTGTTCACTTGTTTTCACTTAGAAAATCAACAAAAGGTAATTCGACTCAGGGCATCAAAACTTTTGTCTGTATATACATATTTGCAAGTTTTAAAAAGTAGAGGTGATGTTAGAACCCCTGGGCTCTACAGCATTATGAAGGAGGTGAATGACATGTTAATGGTGAAAAATATGGGGAAAGATGAAGAAAAGGTGTGGAGTGGTTAAAGAAAAGTGGACTCAGAGTCGACTGAGATCTTTGCTGCATTAGTTCTGCTTGAGGAGCCACAGTCATCTGACCAGAGGGTGTGAAGCTGAGCGAGACCATCAGGATTGCCGTGGAGAGGCCAGACTGGTGTTGCATCATCTGTGAGGAGCTAAAAACCCTTTGTCTCCAGTTCAGAGTTTCTATGAGTAATATTAAATGAGCAATATCACTGATCAGCATTAAGCTTGGTTTAACAGAAACATGGCTTATACCAGGGGAGCCAATCTCAACCAGTGAAAGGGCCATATTAGAAAATTATATCAAATCTGTGGGCCAGAGAAAAACATGTGTTTATTTCATTTTTAATTAATGTTGTGTAATAATTAATGTGCTGTAACCCAAACTGGCCATTGTTTATTCAAAATATGCAAAACGTTCAACAGCAAATTACAGACACTTGTAGTAGACCTTTAAATATTACATGGAGACTTGAAATATTCAAAATTGAAATGTGCCCAGGGTCTTTAAAACCTACCTCTCTGCCTGAACTACACACTCGGCATCCTTTCTGTGCTGCAACTTCATTAAGACTTAGTCTCAGTTTCTGAGCTACTACGCGAATGTTAAGTGTTTATGTTGGTTGAACTGCAG